ATTTATTTTAAAAAATATAAAACCTGGCGAATCTTTATTAGAAATTGGAAGTTGAACATTATCATCACCTTTAAAAAAAGACTCACATGCAGTCCTGAGCTTTTCTATGTATGATATGTTTTTTGGCAAAAAGAAATCCTTATATCGAGGATCAAGTAATGTTGCGACAACATAATTGTCATCATTATAAATATCAAAAAACCGAGTTGTTAATTGATTATTAGTGGTATTCTTCATAGTCTGCACACCTCTATCTGTGTCCCCATTAATTGTTAATTCACTTTTCAGAATTTCAACAAAGGGTATAACATTGCTAATTGAACATGATTCCGTACTTATTCCTTTTGTTACTCTCTGAATTGGTTCAAGAACATCAATTACCCTTTCTGCTAATTCCCACTCATATAATGAGAGATTTCCCAAATTAGGATTATCGATAATGAACAGCTGTACCGCCCTTTTTTGTTCTATCAATCTTTCGAGCATATAATAGGTAGAATCCCAACGGGTGGGCACATCCTGGATTAATTTGTGCTGGGCTAGACTTAATCGAATTTGGATTTCTTTTAGACAATTTTGTGCAATAGAAGAATGTTTAAAGTGTCCTACTATTTTTCTAACCCGGGCAAGCATGTCAATAATAGATCTCTGTGATAAAATTGCTGCCTGTGCAACCAATTGCAAACTATGTGCAAAACACGAAACGCTTTGAAATTTCCCATTTTTCATGGCCAAAGTTATATTGGGTGCATTATCTCTAATGATTAGGTGTATTTTATTTTTCTTTATACCCCAATAATTAATAATTTCATCTAAAATTTGAGCAATATTTATTGCTGTATGCGACTCATTAAATGTTTTAACATTTAGAACTCTATTAATTTGTTGAAAATTTTGGTTTATATAGTGGCATGTTAATGAGATGTGAGAATCGCCACCTGAATTTCTAGTCCATATATCTACCGTAAAGGATAAAAAAGAATCGTCAACCAAAATTTCTTTACGAATTTTTTCGGAGAGTTTTTCATATATATCCGGAATAACTCCTTGCGAAAAATACTTTCTATTGGGAATTTTGTAATTTGGACATAAATGATGTAAAAGCCTTTTAAAGCCTATATCCTCCAAGATAGAAATCGGCTGGTGGTCACATGCTATCATTTCCCCTATAAATTTAGAAATTATTATTGATTTAGGATCAGAATGTTTCCAAATATTAGTTTTATTAAGAATGGCTGATATTGTTGGCTGACTTTCAGGGCTCTTTTTTTTTTAAATTTGATTTGTTTTTTCTAATATTTCTCGTTCTTTTTGTGTTAGCTCTTCGAATTCCTTTTGATGGCAACGCTTCAGATGTTTCCTAATGTTAGTTGTATTGAACGAATTTTTCAGTATTCCTCTAGGTGAAATTAGAATTCCGCAGATGACGCATTTTGCAAAATTACCTTCATCTTTATAAAATATTTCTATAATTCAGAAACCATATTTAAAATAATTTTTATTTAAAGTATAAATAATAAAATTGGTGTTATTTTTTTAAAAAATTAAAAATAAATAAAACTTTGGGTGTTCCTTTCTATTTTTATAAAAAAACTTGTAAAATCTATTTAAAAAAATAAATAACATTTGCATTGTTTAAAAAAAAATTATTTATAAAATATTATTAATGTAAAATAGAAACTCGAAAAAATTTATTTTTTTTTAAAATATTTAAAAAAAAATTTTTTTATTAAAAAATAATAATTCAAAGTTTCATTACTCAAAAGTTTTATAAGAATTGCATTTTTAGAAAAAGGATCGGATCGGATCGGGTTTTTTTACAGGTATCGGGCCGATCCGATATTTTTAAAAAGGCCAAATATCGGGACCGATCCGATATTTAATATCGGCACAGCCCTACTAAGTATCAAAAATTAAATAACACTGAGTTTTATAAAATGGGAAGTCTTATTGGTTGATTAGAATAGCAACGTAAGTAGTATATATAATCCCTATTTTAATAGTGTTTGTAATTAAAAGAAGAAAGTGTATGTTAAATGTCTAAAAGCTAATATGGTGGTTAATTGAAATTATTGTAAAATTAAAGAGAGGAACAAGGTCATCTGAGCTAAAATTTGTTGCGTATTATTCAACATAAGGGGAAGAATGTAAAATTTGGGAAATCCTTAGCCAAGAAATTTTTTAAAGAGTTTTATTAACTAAATAAAATTTACGAGCGCTGTCAAACCCAAAAGAAAAAGTAATTATGGGTTACGGTGTATTAAGAATTAGTGATCTGCATCGGGCCTAATTTTTCAAGCCCGACCCGGCCCGAATTTTTTTAAATATAGAAATTAATTTTTATAATTACTCAAAATAAAAGACATATGTTATTTATCGTTTAGTTTCAATCAATAAATAAAATCAAATAATTTTATTTTGCATAAAAAATTCAATATAAAATTGATAAATTAAGATATATTTTAAAAAAATTCCAAGGTCCGACCAGACCTGGCCCGAATTTTTTTTTAAATATTAGGCCCGGTCCGAACCCGATTATTTAAAATAGTTCGGGCCGGCCCTAACTTTGCAGATCTCTAGTAAGAACCATTAATTTTGAAATTGGTGAAAAAGTGATGATTAAAAGTTATTTTTTAGAAATTATTTCAAAATAAATGTTTTATTTTGGGTAAAAAGAGATGATTAAAAAAATTAATTTCGGTAAATAATTTTAGTAAGTGTTTTATGAGATGAATTGGTGTAACAATTATAGTATTGATGTTAGTAAAATTCATTATAAAAAAAAATTTTTGAACAATTTTTTTGTAAAATATAAAGAAATTAAAAAATTAAAGTTTAAAATTCAAGATGGTAATCCACAAGTTTATATATTTACCTGGCATGATTATATGAATTAGTGTGTATATTAGAGATCTGCAAAGTTAGGCCCTCGGGCCTAATTTTATTTAAAATAATCGTGTTCGGGCCGGGCCTAATATTTTTAAAAAAATTTGGGCTGGGTCGCGTCGGACTTTGTAAATTTTTTTAAATATATCTAAATTTATCAATTTTATATTGAATTTTTTATGTAAAATAAAAATTTTTGATTTTATTTATTGAAACTAAACGATATGTCTTTTATATTGAGTAATTATAAAAATTAATTGTTATATTTAAATACATTCGGGCCGGGCCGGTAAATTTTTTTTAAAAAAAATTCGGGTTCGGGCCGGGCCGGCAAATCTTTTTAAAAAAATTTTGGGTTCGGGCCTGGCCGGCAAAACTTTTTTTAAAAAAATTTCGGGCCGGGCCTCAAAAATTGGGAACGATGCAGATCACTACTGTATATTAATGGAACGGGAAATCAAAATATGTCTGAACTACTCCCGCTATCGACGCAGCCTTTCTCAACAAGAAGAGGGCGAAACTTGGTAGGGAATTGTTATCATTGTCAATACAGGGATCACTTACAAGATCGGTCTCCCCGCGAACCTCGTAGACAGGTGGAACAGTACCGAAATGATAAACCGCCGGTGCAAACAATTCCCGTGGCCCGACCAACGAAGACAGTAGCGGGAGAAATAAACGGCGATACCAGTGGCAGCCCGCATGGTAGAAATCATTATTGAAAATCAAATAAGAAATGAATTTAGACATGACAGATATGGAAATGGAATCGTGGGGTATAATGAGAGTTATTTCATTTTTCAAGGAGGACCTGTCATTCGTTTTAAATTATTTTATATATTGAAAATCAATATTTTATTATTATATATATTTTTTTTTATCTTATTTTTGTATTAGATTTTTTTTCATTTCTACACAAAAAATTAATTTATGATTTTTGAAAATAAAAATATAATACAAAAACATAAAAAAATATAGATTTTCAATACAAGCTTAAATAAATATAAAATAATTTAGAACGCATATGACCTATAGCATATTAATAAATTATCACATATATAATAAAATATTACCTACACTATAAAATTTACATATTTCACTTTCTAAAATTGATATTACCAATAAAATGTAAGTATAAAAACCAGAAAATTTTGAAAATGGGAAGAGAAAAAAAAAGGATTCTTCGAAAAATAAAATTGAATTTATTTTTCATAAATTTAATAGAAAAAAATTTTTTAAACTATTTTACCATTCACCTTTAAAAAAATATCAGGGTTCGGGTTCAACCAAAATATCAGGGTCTTGGTTTACATCCCTGAATAAAGATTATATTCATTTTATTTAAGAAAAATTATAAGGGAAGCAATGCTTCCCTTGCTTCTATGGACGCTTCGTCGCTGTTATAAAGCATTTGATTGAATTTTTTTTAAAAAGATTGTGTTAAAGCGGGGATCCAAAATTGATGCTAGGAAGTTAAATTTTCCATTATAAATATAAGAAAAACATATATTAAGTTTTATACAGCGCATCCTTCATAGTCTGGACACCTGTATCGTCCTCGCCATGATAAGCGTTCTTTTTTAAGTAATTCTATGAATGGAATAAAATATAATTGATCCATTCTCTCCACTAATTTCTTTTGTAATGCACTGATATTGTACAGCTGGAAATTTTTAAAAATTTAAATGCCATTTTATGGGATCGTATCATCAATTTAATATTATCGGTCGATAACTTATATTTTAAACAGGTGAATGACCAAGCTGATCCGATAAAAAACATTGGTACATCCTTAGTTTTTAGTAATATCGGAACGATGAAAAATCTGTGGATTGGCATTATATATCATAAAAAATATATGAAATTATATGTAGGCCTACAGAAATACTAATTGAATTAAATATTTCTTATTCAAATTAAATTTTAAATAATGTTTCGAAAGTGAAAACATATTAAATTTTAAATCATGTAGAAATAAAGTTAAAAATAAAAAGTTCCATAATAACATGTTGAATGCTTGTATAATTTCCAGTAATGAAGAGACTTAATTCTACTAATATTTCCATTATTTGATTCGAATATTTATTAGAAAAAACTTTATGCCATCTTTTAAGGTATTAGATTTGGAAGGAAACGAGAAGGGGGAATGGGGATTTAAAGCTCTCAAGCAAATGATTAAAATATATTTCAAAAGAGGCCAATATGAAAAAATGATGCATAGATATAAGCAACTTTTGACATACATCAAAAGTGCCGTAACCCGTAATTATTCTGAGAAGTCAATCAATTCCATACTTGATTACATTTCCTCATATTCTGGCCCAGCAAATTCTAACCTAGGCAAAGATAATTTTAATAAAGCCTTCGAGCTTAATCGCAAAAATAATGAACATCTTAAAAATCTGGATCTTTTACAAGAATTTTATGAAGCAACTTTACAAGCCTTAAAGGAAGCTAAAAACGAGAGACTTTGGTTTAAAACGAATACTAAGTTAGGAAAATTATATTTTGACAGAGGCGAATATAATAAAATATTTAAAATTATACGCCAATTACATCAAAGTTGTCAAACCGATGACGGAGAAGATGACCTTAAAAAGGGTATTTTATTAAATATCTAAAATTTAATTAAATAAAACTATCTTGAAATAGGTACACAGTTATTAGAAATATATGCCCTAGAAATTCAGGTTCATACAGCGCAACGCAACAATAAAAAACTGAAACAGCTTTACGAAAATTGTTTGCACATTAAATCAGCCATACCTCATCCACTGATTATGGGCGTCATACGAGAGTGTGGAGGCAAAATGCATTTAAGGGAGCACGAATTTGAAAAAGCGCACGTTGATTTTTTTGAAGCCTTTAAAAATTACGACGAATCTGGGAGCTCAAGACGCACAGCTTGTTTAAAGTATTTAGTTTTGGCTAACATGCTCATGAAAAGTGGAATCAATCCTTTTGATTCTCAAGTTCTTATTTGTTATATAAATTTATAATATTAATTTTATGCTTTTTAAAAAAGGAAGCCAAACCTTACAAAAATGATCCAGAAATTATAGCTATGACAGATTTAGTTACTGCTTATCAAAATGGAGATATAGTTAAATTCGAATCGGTATTAGAACGAGATTCCTCATGCAATGATTTCAATAATTCTATTATAACGAGTAAAGATAAAGCCCTTGTTAATAGGATATCTATCATGGATGACCCTTTTATAAGAGAGCACGTTGAAGAACTGCTTAAGAATATTAGAACTCAAGTTTTAATGAAATGTTTAGTGAAGCCTTACACGCGTGTTAAAATTAAGTTCCTAGCTGACAAACTTAATGTCAGAGGTATAAATCGTGAAAAGGAGGTTGAAGATCTTTTAGTATCTTTAATTTTAGATGGTGTTTTACCTGAAGGCTGCAAGGTTGATCAAATGGAAAAGACTTTAATTCTAGTATGTTAATTCATTGGGCCATTCCATATCAAATCAATCAATAAAAAGACATATCAATGGACTCTTGAAATTTTGTATACAAGCTAAGGGACACGTAAGCTAATGCATGGTCCAAATTTTAGCACCCGAGCTATTATATATCGAGAGATTTCCATGGTCAAACTATGAAATATGATCTATTTTCACCTATATCTTATCAATTGTTTTCCAATTTAAAATTTATTAAAAACTACCAGATTGTAAATAAGATTATAATTTTAAAATAAAATGTTCACATTCTATTTTTTTAATGTTAAGGTCCATTTAATCCCGTTCTAAAGCTTTTTTTGCAAATATTACTGAAAACAGTTTGGAGTCCAGGCTTAGTCATTGATCTGAAATTTAAAAAATCGGCTTAAATTATTTATGAAAATTTTTAAGAAAAAATTTAAAGTAATGTTTTTCGTTACAGTTACTCAAAAAAAGTAAGCGCGTTACTCTCGGATAACGAATTGTGTTCCATTCCCTCGAACAAGTAACGCTGTTACTTTACAGCACTACTTTAGTTACGGGTACCTTAGTTTGTATGCAAAATTAATTCAAACGGTCAATCGAATCGTGATTGATTGACATAGAATGACCCCTTATAGCTTTTTTTAATAATAATATATTATTATTTTAACATTAGGTATCAAATAAAAATGAAAACGTTTTTTTAAAAGAAGCTGATATTCCGAATTTAAAAGATAAAGATGATCTCAAAATACAAAATGTTTTTTCTCATACAAATAAAATTTCGAAAGGAAATTATTTTAATACGAACTTCTATGAAGATAAAAAATATCAGACTTTTCAAAAACTAAATGAGAGGTTGTTAGAACTTCAACAAGCTTTAATTAATAGAATTGCTTAAATTTACCTATAATGATAATTTGTAAAATATTTTTTTATATTGTGATTACTGATAATTACATAAAGTTTATTATTGTAGAGAAATTTATTACTAAATAAAACTATTTGTTCTAATATGAACTTCTTTATTATAATCTATCAAATAAAATTATACGAAAATTAACATATCAAAAATAAAATAAATACCGTATTCTATAAAAACGCAGGTGGGACTACTAGTTCCCCAAAAACATGAATAATTATATTTTAAAATAGTAATTTGTAGATTGTTTTAAAAAATAATATTCTTTTGTTCTAATTGGTATAAAATTTTATCTTACTAAAACTTCATATTGTCATAATATCGACAATTTATTTATTACTGGACTTAGACAATGATAAAATAATGAAAAATATTTCCTTCAGAAATATATAAATCCTTGCTTAGCCATGACGCCCTTTAATTATTTAGCAAATAAATTTTAAGTTTAATATAAAAAAATTACTTTTTAAGATATGCTCGTTTTAAATGAGAATTTGTTCGAAAGAAGGATAAAAATAGGGATAATTACATTTTTATTACTTTATATGGTGTTCGATTTGAATGAGAACTAAATATTAAAATGTTCTTTACTGATTTTGTCCTCTCTCTGTTTTAAAACAACGGCGAACTCTATATATAAGTGTGATAAAATTTGTATCTATCAGAATACATTTAAAAAGTATCTTTTAACAACTCTGAAAATATATTATATGTGCTACCCAGTCCTAAGTCTTATTTTATAAGAATCGTGCACTAAGAATCCGGTTCATTCATTAACCTTGATCCTTCCTTGTGAAAATGTTATTAGATAAATAAAAACTATAACGTCACCCCTTCGATTGCTTCTTTATAGGATTTTGAACCCGATTTTAGAATCAATTACACCTATAGCCTATTTTGTTTTCATATTCATTTGTAAATAATTTAATTATTTTGTTCTGTTATTGGAATACCGGGTACTCACAAAAGTATAAAATTTTTAAATACAATTGATTTATCTCCATACTGGCTAGTGTTGTTAATTAGACAACTTCTTAGTTGAAGTTGAGGCAATCGACTAAAAGCGTTAGCAATTATATTAGTCAACTAATTTTGTGGATTTTCTTACATTTTTATTTCTATTATATTACCTTTTTATTTTAATTCTGAATTTGTTTATTTTTAGTGCCTGACTGGCACCAAATCTAATATTTATTAAATTATTTTATAAATAGAAATTTAGGTAGACTTTTTATGTTTTCAAAAACTTTAATAAAATAAATAATTTTAGTCTTCGTTGACTAATTTAGTGGCTAAGGTTTTTAGTCATATTTTTTGACTAGTTATAATCAAATAATTTAACTAATTTTGTCGATTAACAACACTAGTACTGGCTGTTAAATGTAATATTCATACATTGCCTAATTATGCGAAATTCCATAGGCCAAAAAAGATTTTTAAATAACATTTATCCATTCCTAAAATAAATTATGACATTTTAACAAAATATTTTTAAATATGTCAACAATTATTTGGTAAGGGACAATTGTAGCAATGCTTAAATTTATTCTATAATTGTAATTTTTAAGGGAATTCCCAAATTTAATATGTTCATTTGTCCCACAAATGAGCCATTGAGCTGAAAATTAGAAGGATTGTAGCTAATAAAGGGACTATAAATACCAATACATATCTCTCAATTAAAAAATACAAATAAAAAATCTTATCTCTAATTTGGGCAGGATTGGGATTAAGTTAATAGGAATTTAATTGAGACTCAAAATTTTTGTCAGTCCAAATTGTTAAGAGCTTTAATTAGACAAGTTTTATTGTATAAATAGAATATAGATGTTTTTTTCATATAATTTTAGGGGTTTAGGAACAGGTGGGGACATAATCTTAATTTATTTCAAAAAATCACTTTAATTTTATATTATAAAACACACCTTTATTTTATTAACATATTTATTATTTTGTTCTAATGTGTAATTAAATCAGAAATATCTAACAAGTTATATTTTAATAAGAAATTTGTGGTTTTAATAAAGCCCATGATTTTAATATTTCTCTAAGGTGATCATAAATTTTTTCACAAGCTTTGATTGCTAATAAGAAATTCTAAATACAAACAAAAATATATAATCATGAATAGTTTTGTTTATACCTCTATGTATCGATTTACTTGTGTTTCACCTTCTTGAAATAAACAAGTTATTTGATTTAATGCTGGAAGATATCCAATTGTTATTGAATTCGAAATAATTTTATCAGTTTTCTAAAAAAAAAATTGAATAATAAAAATTAGGCTATTCAAATATAACTTTAAAATATATTTCTTCATCTTTTGTAGGATCTAATATAAAAATTTTATGTTTTTTTAGTTCTGCTTCATATGTGATAAGAGTACAAGCAGATAATACATCAAATACTTCTATTCCCGAGGTAATAATAGCTAAACTGGCACAATTTATAAGTGCTGATAATAATGAGCCATTATCTTCAAGTATAAGAGCACATATTTCTATTTGGGATTTGGGATATTGTAACTAATAGTTTTCAGCATTATTAATTAAGATTTAATTATTTACAAGATTGATTGTAGGTTCTAGAGCTTCCATTAAACAATGTGAATAATATTTATTGGAGGATTCTAACTTTTCAATTAATTCTTCTTTTGATAAATTTTGATGATTCCAATCTTTGCTAGAAAAGGGAGCTAGGTTAACTTTACACAATAGATTTCCTTTATTGGTTTTGATAATTGATTGACCCTTCTTCTTTATTGTAATGTTACTTGAAGTAAATGAACTGCTAGCTTCTCTTGGACCAAAAACCGAACATATTATTTTAGTTTTACCCTGTTCCAAGTAGGCGGAACCTTTGGCAGCATTAATGATATCAGTTTTTGCATCTAACATTTTTCAATTAAATATAAATAAATAAATTTTTACAAATTTTTCTATGGTCGAAATTATTTCTACCGTCAGATCTTAATATATTGTCAACAAGGTCCTATAATAAAATTATAAAAGCTATAAGTATTGTATTTTACTTTATTTATGATCATATTTATAAAATTTTGATACTAAGAATTCAAAATGCAGAATTTAGTTAATATGATTGATCATGTCAAAAATATGAGTATTAATATTTTCTCAGGAAGGTATAGAAATTGTCTTGATTTAATAAAATATTATTTTTACTTTCTAATACCTTTCATATACCAATTTCGATTTAAAAGTATAAGTTGATAATTTTATATAAATATTTTTTTATTTCTCATATTTAACAACCAATGTAAATTATACATCAATTTCTATTTCAACTTAAAAAGTTTTGGATAGCTCCCATGTAATTAACCGTAGTTTGATGTCATTTATTTGGAATTTATCTTTCAGCTCGTTGAATGGAACAACCAAAATATTTATTATTTCCATTCTTATTGTTGGGTCACACCAATGACGAAGCGTCAAGTTTACTACTAGGGATAGAATTAAAAAAATATTTTTATTTTAGTCAAACTCAAACCATAAAAACATTAAGATTTATAAATAAGTGGTATTTATCTTTGTTTTTGAGTAAAATGATCAAGTACTGCATTATAAAAGTTATCGCTAGATTTTAATAATTTTTTTTCAATCGAAATCAAAGATAGATTCGATAATCGATTTTGGCTCATCCTGTTTCTGCAACAAGATTTGATTCTTTTTAAAGACGAAAAACTTCGTTATGCACTTGCTGTTGTTAAAGCCAAAGTTAAGATGAATTTGCATAATTTAAAAAAAACTCTTAAAAACATTTCATCAAATCGGTGCATATTAAAAATTCAAGTATTTCATTAACATCTTTCTAAATTCAACATCCCGTAACACTACCTTTAATTCGGTTTCCAGCTGTAAATCGAAAAATTGAGAATAAGTGTCGTTGAAATTATCTAATAAATATTTTGGAAAACTGATTATATGGAATATCTAACAATTAGACGAATTTAATATTTTTTGGTGTAAGACATATGAAATAGAAATAATTAAATCATTTTGAATATTGCTTGATAGTCCAATAAAAACTGCACTATTTCTAAATGATGTTTCAATAGTAAATTTTCTTTCGCGAGCAAATAAATTAATTCAATATAATTTACTGAATTAGAAGATTTATCATCACCACGGAATACGAGCTCCTGAATTCCAAGAAAACATAGAGTTGTTCAATATTTCTCTATTGGATTTGACTTTAGAATTATGCTGTTCGATTGATATTTTGCGCATCGAATCTATCATATTTTAAATATGATTTTGGCCAAATATTTTTAATTTATCATCGACTGCAAATGACCGGTTGATTCTTTGACGTTTAACTGCCTTTGAAATATTATTCATAACCGAAAATCCTTTATCATTCCAAACATATTTTTCCTTTGGGAATAATAGGCATGACCAACAATATAGAGAATTAGAAAATTCACATTCAGCGAGCCATTCATATTTATCGAAGAAAAATTACGGATACAAGTTTTGATTTCTTTTTTTAAGTTTTGTAAAATTGGTTTTGGTCTTCCTTTTTCAATTTTTTATTTGCTTTCCCAATGCTTATTTTTTAATGGTAACAATACCATGGCATGATTTTCTCATTATTTATTAAAAAACATCAGCAATATTAAATTTGCTTCCCTAATGTATATTTTTTTTAACGTAGTAAAAATAATAGTAAATTTTTTAACGTAGTAAAAATATTAGTATTTCTTAATTAGTAAAAATAATATTATTTTTTTAACGTTATAAAAATTATATTAATCTTATTAACGTTATAAAAATTATATTAATTTTTTAACGATTTAGTTTATTTAGCATAGTACAAAGATTTTATTAAGTTTATTTAAAAATTTTTTAATAAAAATTTCAAGGGAAGCAATGCTTCCCTTTCTTCTATGGACGCTTTGTCACTGGGTCACACAATTCTTTTATAGTATTGGCATGAAAAGACCTTAATTGTTATTTTCTGAGAACAATAGAATTAATTTGACCTGATGACACTATGACTTAATCTGCTGAAGAAATAGAACATTCTTTTAATAAAAACCAACTTGTATCTTTAATATTTAATAGTAAGATATCTGTATCTTGCATTTTTTACAAAATGATCTATATTCTTTTTTTATGAAACTGCACAACTTTCTATTTTGTAAATAATATTTTATTATATGTTTTTTAAATCTTTAAAATGTCAGCTGTCACGTCATTATATTTATTATGGTCAGATCGTAATTATGTTTTATAAATGATGGTAAAAATAACATACTTTATCTGATCTATTTTTAAGACTTCAAATTTAGTAGAAATTTCTATAAAAGATCAATATTTGAGTAGAAGTGACATGTGGAGATTAACACAAAATATGGTTTAATATTTATTTAAATTTTGTAATATGGTTTATTAGATTGGAAATGAAATTAAAGCTGGAACTAAGATAGATAAAATGGGCATGAGGTAAAAAAATTTTTACTTATATTTTATATTGGTATTTATTTACACCTGCAAATCTTTTAAAATAATTTAGTTAGTTTTAATTCAATATTATAATCAATCAAGATTTTATATCCTGTGCATATTAAATATCAAATTGGGGACAATATTTAAATAAATATTGTATCAGCCATTTAAATAAAAAAATTAACCCAATCCAATGTTTTCATTATTTTTTTATTTTATACTTGTATATTTACCTATTATTTTATTTCAGAAATAAAAGGAATAACCATAATAAATTCCAGTAACCATAATAAATTCCAGCTCTATAATAATGGAAATGTATAAACACTAAAATTTTATTATTTTTTTTAAGGTATTTCTGATAAGTGAGCAGAAAAAATTCACATTATGTGAATATACATTTAGCCTGTACCAAAACATTTTATACTAAATATGAATAATATGTAACTATTACATTATATTTTATTTATATTTTGCATTTTGTGAGTAACAAATACTTTATAAAGGATATATTTTTTTTCATTTTCTCTTAAATGCTCCCAGTTAGTGATAGAAAATCACTATTTGAGCAGATTTTTAAAAATGGTTATATTTATATTTTATCCAAAAAAATATTAGGCAAACCTGAGGATTTTGCTCATAGATGGCATAAATATTTGGGTATCTATTGGCTTTGCAATATTTTCTGGCTCTAATATTGAGCCATTTTTAAAATCGCCTCAATTCGAGTGATTTTACTATGTACAGATCCCAAATGGTAATATACTTTTTGAAAACTACCATGCCTGGTTCAATTTTAATTATCTTAATTAGACACATAATATTAGGAAATCATGAAAATACTTAAGTGGAGACTGGTAAGGTAAACATAATTTTTAAAAAGCATTGTTTTTAGCATTTTTGACTAATAATATATTATCATTTATTGTTGCTAGAATTTTAAGTAGGAAACTACTATCAATAATTAAATTTCATAAAATTATATTTGCACATTTTAAACAAACTAAATATAAAACATAGATGAATTTTATTTGTTCTTTTGTTGAAAGTGAGGATATACTAACAAATTTAAATAATTTTTATTTAATGAAATTTACATACTACATAAAGAAAGTTATTATTTTAATACAGCACCAGCTTGGGCCAGATAGTTAAATTTTTTTAGGTGGTACAAAAATAAGATCTGGTAACATCTACCAGTATTTTATGAATGTATATTGTAAATATGTTTTTTTATGTCATTAAGAATGCAAATAGGAGATATATGGAAAAATGGAGAATGTATAAAAACAGAAAATATTTCAAAATACACAAAAGTATGTTATTTTTAAAAAAAATTGAGCTAATAATCATAAAGTTTTTATTTAGATCATCAACTGCTATGGTCAATATATTTGTTCAGATGAGTCGTGAAATGTGGGAATTTGATTTTGTTGGAAATCTCTACTTTGAAAGGGCAATTTATGATTTGATCATTAAAATATTTAAATTATGGAAAGTAAAGAATTTTTAAATAAAAATATTAAGTATGTTCCCAGTCTCCATTAGTTTTAAATTGATATTATGATATAAGTGAATAATTTATATGAAATGTTCTATATTGTTTGATATATTTTGTTTATTTTGATCAACATAATAATTATTATTTAGTCAATATTTTCTTTAAATATAATAAAATGTTAAAGCATTAAGAAAACTTTTAGAGATGATATGAGATAAATTAACATTTAAACCTACTTCATGATGCTAGTGCTCAATTTGAGCCTATCTTTAAAAACGGCTAACTCAATATTTTATCCAGATAAATATTAGGCAAGACTGAAGATTTTGCTCATAGATGGTCAATCTTGAGGCATCAATATTTTTCTGGCTAAAATATCGAGTTACACGTTTTTAAAACAAATGGAGCGATTTAGCATCTCTACATACATCTACTCATTTCATAATACTTTTTAATAGTAAAACATCTGTAATTTAACTATACATTTAAATATATTATAATGTTCAGTTATAGTTTATATCATGAATCTAAAGTATATATAATATTTTTTATTGATAAATCACTTATTTATATAATATTATTAATCTATAATAAATATCAAACAAAAATATTATGAAATTTGAAATAAATTTTTTGAAAATTAAGACGTCATTTTATCTGATCGGAAAATTTTATAATATCGGACCGATTCGATAAGAAATATTTACTATAATCATAAATGTAAATATCTATTTATATAAATAAATATATGATAAAATAAATGCATAAAAATTACCCTTTTAAGCAGATCAGGAAATTTTAAATTGTAATAAAGATATATTATAAGTACAAATATTTATTAGATTGTATGTTTTTTATATATAATGGGAGTTACAAAGCACTTTTTGGTAAAATATTCTCTGCAGAGTTTTGAATATGGGTGTACCGATACCACTTTTTGGAGGCAGATCTGATCCGATATTCCTGATATTAAATTGATATCAGCCAATTATCGATCCTATTTCATATCTAATTTTGTTGTAAAGATACCAATGGTTTTAATTTTTAATATACTTTTTATTCATATAACATTTATAGTTTAACTATACCATAACTTATGTCATTAAATATATTACAGTGATCAGTTATAGTTTTTATTCAATTCAATTGCAATTCTAAAAGTTTATAAAATATTTTTATTGTTAAATCTTTTATATAATAAGTAATAACATAAATCTATATACATAAGAAGGAATAAACAAATATATTATGAAATTTGAAATAAATATTTAATATTAATATATCAAAGATTTCTTTATAGAAATATCAAAATTTTCAATTTACCAGAAGTCAGCCTGCGGCGATGGTAACTGTCAATATCATCAGCTTTACTAAAAACAGATTCTGAAGAGATTATCGCACACTTTTACAAACAGAATGCACAAAAAAATAACAATATGATAAAATGTTTATTAATTAATTATTATTATTTTAAAAAAATGATTTTAGATATAACTTTTTTAAAAAATTTTATAACATTTTATTTTTGTTAAAGACGCCATTTTATATTGAATCGGATCGGAAAATTTTATAATATTGGCCCATAACCGATATTTTAAAATGGGTGAAATATCGGCCCGATCCGATAAAAATATCGGTACATCCCTAGTTTGAAATATCGTGGCATGGGAGCATTTTTTTGACAAGGTCTTTATTGTTAGAAAATCTCTTCTAAAAAAATTCAAAATTTATATAAAACATATGATTCACAATATTGGACCATCATATAATTTAAACATCAGTACTGTTTACTCAAAAAAATCCAAATCCCAACTCTGATGAAAAGTGAGAAAGAATAATTATAGAATAATAAATATGTAAATAAAATTTGTTAAAATTATACTTTTGAAATCTTGCTTAAAATATATGGAATATTTAATTCTGGTGAGTAGGGGAAATGTGCCATAAATGGTCATGTGTGAAGAATGGCCACCACCCTTTAACTTTTTATCTATGACCAATTTCTCTCAAAATTGGTCAAAATGTGTATATATATGATATGTACCTTACCTAAGTTCATTTATTGAATAGAGCAATTCAATAAAAAAATATTTCAAATAAACTGTTTTTAGTACCTCTTTCTGGAAAAATCACATTTCACATTTTTTTTGTTTGGTGAAAAAATTACTAATTTAAATTACTGATATTTTATATAAATATTATCCTTAGGCATTTAACATTATTCACACAAAAAATTAGATTTTAAAAGCTTTATTTAATAGACATATAAAGGCGCTTAATAATAATAGAGAGGTGAGTATTGATTGGCCATATCGCACATTCACATATTCATATTAAAATGAAAAGCTCTTGTAAAACAACATTTGGTGAAATAAAATGATGAACAAAGAATGTTTAGTAATATGATAATTAAGATATTAATTTATAATATTATCATTAAATAGATGTGGTAATAAATTGAGATTTTAATACTAATTAAATTAGTGTATAATTAATTTTTTATATAACTATAAAATGTAGAAATATTAATATAGGTCTTTTACAAGTATTTCATATTGTATTATTTTATATTTATAATAAAATTCTTAAATAATATATTATGACCAGTTAACACATAGTATATAGTCTGAGAAAAACAACTTTCACATAATCTCATTTAGCTCATAAAGTATTATACATAGAGCTTTGATTCAAATTTTATTATTAAGGCTAATTGATAAAAAACTTGTTTGGTTAAACATAAATTTTAATACCTTTTTTCAAAAAAGCAAAAACATGGCCATTCATGGCACATTTCCCCTACTTGTTTTGATGTATTTATTATCATAAAATGTAAAATAATTAGCTTTTTTAATTATAAATTATTATTTATCTTTTTCTATTCTGGCTAAAATGAATGTTGCTTAAAAATATGTATAATAAATTTTTTTTCCTTTTTAATTGTTATTATTATGATGATACAATTAAAAATTAAAATGCAAATATCTTAAATTGTAAAGATTACCTTAAGTCTGATGTCATTGACTGAGGCTGACATTATTTAAATTTGTCTAAACTGCGACGGAGATGGAAATACTATTGAATAAATATGACTTTAAGGAATACTATTTGATAAATTTAATTGACATTTTTTGAGGAATAATATATACATTTATCATTTCTATATATCGTCAAATTATACGAAATTAGTTAATAAACAATATTTAGAAAAATACGATTCAGGCCGAATCGATCCCATTTAAATATTAAACATTCCTAATTTTTATAAATATTAAATAAATAGCGCTGACATCAGTTAGTTGAAGAAAGCATTTAATTATTCAACAATATTGCATCTTAATTATATTTATATTATTTAGAGTAAAGACTGTAATCATGATATAACAATCATATTCTTCTCTCGTACTTATTACCACGCTCATTCTCTAAACGAGTTTCCTGCTAATGATCGTCCATTCATAAATCAAGATATAAATGGAAAATTTTATCAGGATTTTTATTGGTATGAATTTATGTATTTTATTTATATTCTCTTCGGAGACCCACAGAGGTCGATTGAAACCCGGTCCGAATTTGGCAAAAGGTATTTTTCAAGCCAAGCTCGGGTTTTTATTTTTAAAAATTTTTACGAACTATTTAAAATTTTACACACTTCAAAGGAAAATTAAAGTATGAGTAGTGAATAAATTACCGCTCCATTAATGTAGATGATCCGGTACTAAACCGGGCCCGAATATTCTATTTGCCTTCGGCCGGTTCTTAACATGTATTTTAAAAAACATAATATAAATTCATTATATTCTTTTGCATAAAATAAATTTAATATTTAGGGTGGGCTGGCAAAATTTCTAATTTTTTTAAAAAAATTAAATAAATCGATTTTTATATAAATCGCGATTTAAACCAAATACATATATTTAATAAGTTACCGATTTTAATTGAAGAACATACATCATATTTTTTAAAGAGTTAATATTTCAGGAGACCAGTTAGGAAATTATGGAAAAAATATATATTGATAAATCATGAGCTAATTTGATATTTTGTCAAATGAAAATTCGACTTTCAACCAAACAATTGATAATGTGTGCAAACTGTTTAAAAATATTTTAACTAGTCGATATCAGTGAGTCGGAAAGAAAGTCATTTTCTAAAACGAATACTATTATATATATATTCAAATAAACTTTAAAATTTTATTTTTTTGCCTAATAAAATAATCGTGGCTATATTATTTTAAATTTTAGCTACTGCTATTTTCCAAGTTTTGATGATCCATTAGCTAAATTTAAGATATCCATTAATACCTTTAATTTAAAATAATCTTGATTAATAGTTTTGTGATAAGTGTTTAGTATTTTAAAAAATTTCAATATTCTCCCTCTCCTTTCTTTTTCTGATAAAGGCTAGTTCTTCAATTATATTATGATATAGTGCTGTAAAATAACGTCAAAGTAACGTCGTTACCTTTTTTGAAAGAGGTAACGGTAACGCGTTTCTTTTTTTGAGTACGGTAACGCAAAACGTTACTAATTACTATTTATTTTTTAATATAAATAATTTAAACCCAGTTCTTTAATTCATATAAACCACCTCCTTCATATTTTAAATACTCGTTAAATTTTCAGAATGTCCATCTAATAAATATTCAATCAAAATTCAAAGTAAATGTTAATAATAATATTATTATTCTATTTTATAATTTATTTTAAAAATATTATGTCCATAGTACTTACTACAGAGGAAGATGATTTAACCCTTCCCTGGCCCCAATTTGAAACATATTTTACACCAATAAAGAAAATTAAGGGTACAAAGTAAGTCTACACTTTGTAAATGTAAATTATGTCCCAAAGCAAATATTTCAACATCAATGTCCAGCATTTCAAACCTAAAAAAGTATATGAAGGTAAAAAGATGAATTAATGTATAATTATTTTAAACATTACCTTAATAATAGAATATTAAATCATGGGTATTATAAAATAAACATTAAAAGAAGTATTCTTTCATAATATTTTGAATAGCTTAATCATGAAATTAAAATAAAGCAATTAAATTATACAATAATATAGGGCTGGTAATCAACATTATTAGAAGAAGATTAACAAAATATACTGAATTTAAGCAATATCTTCTATTTCTTGTTTTAGTATTTCTATTGGTTTAACTTCAAATTGTAATTTATAGAATAAATAGTGATTTTAAAAAACTTTGTTTAAATAGATATGTATATTTAAATAAATAAATACGTGTTATGATGATTTAATGAAACATATTGACGATTCTATAAAGTTGAATATATACTATCAGCACCCGCTATTTAAATTGGATTAGCCCTGGATCAAATTAGATGTCAACAAAGGAAGAATGCTAGAATTTATTGCCAGTTTGAGAAAAGATCTTGATAAAGAGAGAGCAGACGTAATTCCTTTATCCAACACACATACCAGAATATTTTCTGATAAAAATAAAAAATATTTTTTGATGAGGATGAATAAAAATCCTTGTGAAGATGATCTATTAAGCTTTTTTCAAAATAAAGATAATTCTTTAAATATTTTTAATAAATTCCCCGAATTAAAATTTTTATCTATTAAATATAATACAACTCCCTCATCCTCTGCGCCAATTGAACGTGTGCTTAGCTCGGCGAAAGCTGTGTTTATCTCTAAGCTCTCTTGTTTGTCTGATCAAAATTTTGAAAATCAATTGTTGCTAAAAATAAATAAATAATTGTTACAAAAAGATTTTATTTTATATATAATATATTATTTTTGTATAATTTTATTTATTAATTATATATATGAAAATTTTTAATAAAAAGATCTTATCTTATTATATATTCTTTTTATATAGTTTTATTTATATTATATATATTATAGGAAAAAATAAATATCTTTTTTATATAATATTTAATTTTTTAAGTAATGAGTAACCCGTTACTTCTTTGAATAGTCAAAAGGTAACGAGTGACGGTAACACGTTTCTTTTTTCAGACGTAACTAACGGTAACGCGTTCCTTTTTTGTAGTTTTACAGCACTATTATGATAAATATGGTTTAATTAACCTTTTTTTCTGAGGATAAATCAATTTATAACAAAAATTATTATAACCCACCATCCAGAAAATCAAGATTATTCTAATACTACCGATAATTTCTTATCCTATTTTCTAAATCCCAAATATATTTCAAATTTACCAAATAGTGGAACATGGTTAATTTTATATCCTCAACCAATCTCTTACCTATTAATCATGGTAAAATCCTCAGCTAGATCTTACCCATTCAAAAAAATTATGTATTCCGATGAAATAATTAAAAAAAAATTAATGATAGTTAGCAGGACCATTTAATTCATAGTAAAACAAAAAACAGCTTTAGTAGAGTATTTTCATCATAACTTAGGAATCGTTTAGGAACTATTTTTATTTAAACAATTAATTGCATACCAATTTCGAGTACATGAAAAGTTGCAATGCACTTTTGAAGTTAGGCATAAAAATCAATTTTTTAAATTTTATCTAGATTTTGTAAGATATCATAACCATTCTCTTATAAAATCTAAAAAACAAATAGAATATTATTTTTTAAGTTGTATTTCATTATTCTAATTATAATGAAAAAAAATTTATGATAAATGCTCCTAAATTTTAGAAGTCTTTCTTTTTCTGGACTGCAAACACGAACCTAGTTCAGAGATATTTCACTAAACCAAACCTATTTTTAGAAGGAGGATTCACAACCCTGAATTTAATAAACTAAATTTTTTTAGAATATTAAATAATTTCACTCTACATTGAGATTTAGATTATACAATTAACAAATTATGACAAAAATTAAAACAATAAATAACAAAATAAATGGAGTATTTTTTTTATCTAATAAGTAATGATTACTAGTTTAATTTAGTATTTTTCACATAAAAATTATTTAATTCTTAAGTCTTTGTCTTTCCTTATTTTACGTATTCTGATCAAAAATTAATTTTTATTTGCCAACCCTAATATTTAGTGCTATAAATATTTCCAAAAAATAACGAATACTTTCGCGTTAAGAATTTATTGGCAAAAAAGGCACTCTTTTAAATTCGTAAATTTACCAAAAAAATATTAATATAATATTTGTTAATTAAAATTATTTTTTTCTATTAATTTTTAATAACAATTGTGTTTCAAAATATAATCTTATAGACTCTAAATTTGCTACGTTAAGAACACGTTTCACCGGAGAGGGTGATATGCAGTGTTATATTTAATGATTATTTTTAGAAACAAATTGAAAATATTTAATATTTTCTGCTATTGTCAAAACAAGTCATTGTTTTGGCTAGCACGGAAAGATTTTGAAGTACAATCTTTTTTCCTTTCTGAAAATTTGGAGCATCGATATCCTGCGGATGATGCTTTTCCATAAGATATACCATTAGTACTTCAATCCATTCATGGATAATATGCCATTAAATGTTTACTCGTTAACTTTGTTCGATATTTCCCCTTGGCGTTTTCACTACCTAGATTTCCTAATTGAATATACACATTTTCTAGAATTTTAACATATTTTATAGTAAATTCTCCACATATTTCGTTCTTTCATAATTTGTATACAATGTTTCATTTTTGAAATCGGGGGTCTAATAATAAAAAAAATGCCAACACCTAGATAATTTATGAAATAAAGAAGTAAATTAAAATATTTATAGAATATTAGCTGCATATCACTAAGATTTTAAACATATTTACCTTAAGTGAAATAGCCCTCGAGCATCATTATCATTTACTAATAATTGGTCCTATCTCATCTGAAGGCAGACCTTATTTGCAATAGAATAAATTCGCTTGTGATTTATCAAATATTTATTAAAAATTTTTACAATTGATTAATGAATTAAATGCTATATTTCCTATATGTGTTCTTCACTCAACTTGAAAATTTTTATAACAAAAAATATTTAAAATTGCCGATATTTTATGATCATTTTCGGTTTTCATTTAAATACTTTAACAATTTCACTTTAAAGACCTACCCACTACTATTAAGCTATATATAGACATTGAAATGACCCTTGAAGCTTTATTTTATCCAAAGATTTTCGAAATTAAAGAGAGTATTTTATCTCCCACCTTTAAAGGATCATATTTTAGTCCTTTGTAATTGGAGGCTAAATTTTAAATTTTTTTAGTTATAAAAATTTGAGGGGATCGGATTAAAACTCATAGTGATTTGTCATGGAATTTGCCATCAGTGTTGTTAAAATAGCGCGCTACTTTTTTTAGTAGCGGTGGCTACCTTTTTTAGAAAATAGCGATAGCGGTATCTTGCTACTTTTAATTTTACATAATAAATACATCTAAAAATTATTAAAATATATTTTTTATTAAATCTAAAATTATAATCCTTTTATTTAATTTAATTTTGAAATTTATATTTAAAAATATACATTATAAATCTAGTTATCATAAATCTAGTTATCATAAATCTAGTTATTAAAAATGTGTGAGATTGTTGAAGATAGTGAAATTTCTTTGGAAAATGAGAAAAATATAGATTATCCTTTCCCAAAATTCAAAAAATACTTTAATCTTGAAGAAAAAATTACTACTGGATATCGGTTTCGATGCAAGAAAATTTTTCCAACCACTGGTAGAGTCAATGCTAAAAGGCATTGAGAAAAGGTCAAAACTTTATTTTTATTTTTATACAATTTAAAAAATGAATGATTTATTGCTTGATTAGCCATAATTTAAATTGGCTTAATTTACAACAAAATCTATAATATTAATATATAGTATTAATATAAAATTAATATATTATTAATTACCTTGTGTATAATAATTATATTTTTAAAATCTTTCATAATTTAATACTATTTTAATATTTTTTTTATAAATGAATCTAAATCTCAGATAAATTTAAATTTTGAAAATTAAAAAGGTATTCTTATTTTATAATTAAAACAATCGCTTTATATAAATTAGATTTCCAGATCTGTATGATGATGATAATGTAATAGCTGCTATCGTTCATCCTGTTTCAAGTTAAATTGGCCATATTAATTTGACTGAATCCCTGATAGGCTGATGGTAACGTTAAAAAATTCCATGCCTAACCACGATACTAATACTATAGCAGGAACAAAACCGCGGCCTTCCATAGACGATTTTTTTGAAATAAATAATAATAATATTATTGAACCTCTAGATGTTTTTTTTAAATCTAAAAATACTCATTTAAATATCTTTGATGTTTTTTTTTATATAAAAAGTGTGTTTATTATTTAATACTGCGTTGCCCTCTAGTGCTAGTGCTGAACGATTATTTAGTATGGCAAACTTATACTTTCTGATCGTCGAGTACAAAATGTTATTATTATTAAAGTGCAATATTAAATAAATTATATATATATATATGTAACAAATTATAATCATGTGTTTATACCAATATTTTATTTGTGGAAATAAAGTTATGTAAAATATATTTTTAAAAAAATCAAAATAGTGTAAAAAGTAGCTAATAGCGCGCTGCTCATTTGAAAGCGATAGCGGTAGCGATAGCGCGCTACTTTTAAAAGTAGCGTTTAACAACACTGTTTGCCATATATATAAATTGAACTTTTACATCTTATAAAATACAAATCAGGACATAAAATGTTCAAGTGTCCATCCCAATAATTTTATAAGGAAAAAAAAGATATTATAAGCATGCAAATTAGCTTAATTAATTTTTTTAAACACCCAGCATAAGTTATATTAATTTCAAGCTTATTCATAGGCTCCAAGACACCCCTCCTAATTCAATAACTTTGAAACCCCTCCCCCTCCCACAATGACTAAAATATAACATGATTCAATTATAATGGAGCTCTGGCTACTGTATGTTGAATAGGCCTAAAACGAATTATTTGATATTCGATTCATATTTTACGAATACGAATAACACAATTATTCGATTCGAAATTTCGAATCGAATATGAATAATGAGGAAAATTATTCGAAATTATTTATATATAAATATTCGTAATTATTCGCAAATATTTTATTGCAAGTAAAATAAAAAGAAGTAATCAAATTTTCCTAGTGGATATCATTTCTTTTTATTTTATTTCCTATTATCAAATATTAAATCATAACAAGTTATATTTGCTGAAAAAGTTTAATGGAAAAAAGGGAAAGCTTCAAAGTAAAATATAATTATTTTATTTTGATTGTTTCTCTTTAATCATTTTTGATGTTATTGAACAAGTCAAAACATTTTTATAGAGTGTGCCTCTTTCCCATATTCTCGAGCTCCTGACAGATAAATAACTAAAAAATTTTGACTAGTTCTTATTATTTGATTAGGAAAATCCTTTTCCCATTTAGTAACCTTATTTTTGGCAAATTTTAAAGACAATCTAATTCAGATAGTGCATTATAATATCTTCATCCTCTATTACATTGTCATAACCACCTTTAAAAATTATATTAATAATTAAATAAAGGAAATTTATGCTACTAAAGTATTTTTATATATTAAATAAAATCTATAATGAAATACTTTCTAAAATTTTATTATATTTTATATGCAAATATAATTTTAAAATGTAGATATTTTAAATGGATTATAATTTTAAAAATTTTATTTTGTCATAATCACCTTCACCTCTAACTAATAAGATATTAATAATAAAAATAAATACATGATTAAATAAAGGAAATTTATACTACTAAAGTATTTTTAATAAATAAAATCTATAATGAAATACTTTATAAAATTTTGTTATATTTTATATGCAAATATTTAAAATGTAGATATTTAAAATAGATTATAATTTTAAAAATTTTATTTTGTCATAATCACCTTCACTAAATATTTTTTATAAGCAATTCTAATTCTAAAAATCGGATATTTTGGTCAATTTGTTTGGTTAACGTTATATGATATCATTGGGTTTTATTTCGTTTATTTTCTATAAATTTTTATATTGTAATGACAATTAGTTTAGAGAATCCTTAAAAGTGTCATCTTTAAACATCTGTAAAAAAATTTTTGCAAAATATTTTATAAGCTTTAGAAAAATTTTCGTAATGATTTTATTATTCGTACGAATACGAATAGCGCAATTATTCGTTTCGATTCGTTTTTTTAGGCCTAATGTTGAATATGAAGTTACCGCCTGAAATTTATTAGAGACCTGAATTTACGTTCGTCTTTAATATAATTAATTGTGAGGAAAACTTTATAATGTTGTAAGTGAAGATGCAAATTGATATTTTTTTCTTATTTAATTAAACTCGATCAATACAAATAATTTTTTATTTTATGTAAATAATTTATTTCGATGCAAATTATTTGGTTATTATTTCATGCAAATAATGTGGTCCGAGACGAATGGTTTTTTTATTACTTAAAATATGTCAATACCAATAATTTAAGGTTCAAGATGAAGATAATATCATTTTATTATGATATAAAAATTTGAATAACTACGGCCAGTAATAAATTATGTTAACTTATAGAAATAGTTATGCAAATTATAAATCTAAATTAATGTATAAATACCGAGAAATTTATCACCAAATAAGGTTTTAATTTTGTAATTTTTAAAGTCTTAATAATATTTTATTTTTATTTGAAATAAAAATTTAATATTTAATTTGAACTTGTATTTATTTCTACAACTTTATTGGCTTAGTACATATAATATATAAATATTTTCTTCTATATTTAATTTTTTAAGAATGAGTAAATAATATATAAATTAAGGGTCATTATAAAAAATGAAAAATGTGAAGATTACTCACCGATAATTCAAAAAATGTTGGTGGCATTTCAACTGTATTCCAATCTAACTTTAAGGCTTTTTCCTTCATCTATAAATAACGTTTCTTCTTGGAACTCGGATGCAATGACTGGAAATTTTCTTGAAATGATTAATTTGTCTTTAAATGGTATCATGCTTTTATTATTATATACCATTCTGATAAGAAATATCTACGATATACTAATACTCTTACATAAACTTTTATACTAGTATGCGAAAAACAACATTTGGATTGCAATTTCGAAAGAACAGGTCAATTGAGTATAATAATAACACCAGGACATGGTGTTTACGAAGTTGACAGAGATTTATCTATTATTACAAAAGAAAGAGTTACAGAAATCGGTATGATACTTTTCAAATTAATGATTATTAAAATCTTAACTAACAAATTACGTTATATCTTAATATCTATTCCTAAAAAAATTGATTTTTATATTATAGGCTATCTTCCTTATATTGTTTGTTTGGATGAGCCTCCATTATGTATAGTACCTCTTTTTAAAGTAATTTATGATAACTTCATATAGTTATATTTAAAAAAAAATAAAGTTTAAAAATAAAGATGGAGATAATGCAAATTACGGCGCAGACTACATAATACCTTTTTGGTTAGATATTAGGTAAACTTCTTTATTTATTTGTGTTCGTGTTTAGCAAATAACCTTGCTAATTAATGAACCTGAATGTTTTATTATTTAACAATGTTTTTGAAGCCACCAGACGATTTACCGAAATTATTTTTTAAAATGATCAAACCCGATTATCTTTCAGATATATTCCCGTCATTAGGGAGTTGCACAGCCCGGACCGCAAATCGTACTGAATATAATGGATAGGCCTTTCCCGAAATTTAAACTTAAAAGAATATGTTAAGTATTATAGTAAAATTTAGGGTTGTGCATTTGACCGGTCAAATTCAAATATATTTCAATATTATCATTTTCTAGTAATATTTTTTTAATCAATTTTCCTGATGTCTTAGATCTTAAATCGATTTCTATTTTCATAAGAATATTAACCCAAATCGACCTATTTCTTTCTAAAGAAGAACTAGAACTAGGAATTGTTAGTCTCTTAATGGGCAGGGTTAGACAAAGTTTAATCTATTAATTTGAGGTCGGAATTGATTGTTTCTGGAAATTACTACTTCGACATACTTTGCTATATTAAACATGCTGTTTTTGCTTCTGAAATTAAAAATATTTTGGTCATCACTACCTTAATAGCTAATTCTTGAATTATATCACATACTTCATTAATTTCAGTACTAGTGAGTTCTCCTCTTGATATTTTGGACCCAAAAATAAGCAAACGTTGTGATCACATGTATTTACATCGTTTTTCCCTTTTTTAAACATATTTTTAATTTATTTTTCCTTTAAATTTTTTTATGGTAAAATTTAATTCATTTAATGACCGACGCCGCTCTTGTAATTTATATTTAAAAAAATGAGTTATTATTTTAACCTTTGGAAATTACAGGCTGAGTACTCATACAAAAATCCTTCGCGGACCGGGCTCTGCCAATCTTCACCAGCTATAATGAGCGGTCTCTTAACTAAAATCTAATATCATTTATTAATTCATCCTTATTATGGAATTCTTAAAAAATATTAAAAAATGAAATTTTCGAATATTTGTTTTCTTTAAAATTATAATAAAATCACAAAAGATTTTCTTTATATCATAGTGTACAGCTTTTGTATCACAGAATCTCAGAACCTTGGTGCGGTAGTACAACACGCATAATTATTTAGACGTTTAAATATGAGTTCCTTTTGTATAATTCTTTAACCATTATTATCTTTTATTACAACATAATAATTTATATTAAATTTGAATTGTCAAAAAAATTGTTTGGATTATTTCTAACATGCTAAAAATATTTAAAATTCGTCATAATTCTTTATTAATGCTGAAATTCGTTGTTAAAGTGAGGGTACTATTCGACCGTTGAAATTCTTTCATTAAAAGTTAGAAATAATTATATATATTTAAAATTACATAGCTAAAAAACATTTAAATGCAAAAATTTTACAGTTACAAAAAACAACTAATATTATTAGGGCATAGATCCTTGGATGGGTTATCAGTTAGATCACCATATTTGAGATATTTTCTGTTTGAGATAATAGTTTCCTTACGGTCCGGAGATAGTAGAGATTCTCTAAGTTTTTAGGAAGTGTGACGCCTCATTGCCAAAGTTACCAAGTGTAGAAAGGAATATTTAAGGTGTTTCGAAGTTTCGGCTATCTTTAGGATGTTTAATACATCTTTATCCTATCATCTGAGGATTAACTCAATTAAGATGACTTGTGAACCGATTCAAACTAGACTATTATGCATTTAGAAGAGGATATAACCCAACTTATTTACGACCAAATGCAAATACGTAGCTTTATTTTGAGTCTAATATAAATATTTTTAGGAGATAATCTTCTTAGAATATCTTTAAAGAGTATTTTATCTACAATTTAATTAAATTGAAATTATAAGAGAGACCCACACTAGGGGTTCAATATATTATTGGTTTACAATATTAATATAAACCAATATATAATTAAATATTGGTATTGGTTTGATATATTGTTTAAAAACAATTTTAACCATTACCAATACCAATATTTTTTTAAAATGGATGAATAAATATAATTATTTGGTTTTATCGTGGTATATTTTTTTACTTTCATTTTACATCCGATATTTCTTTCGAATACTAACATTTCTGTACTGTGATATCAATATTGGTGTTATTTATAATTATAGTTATTTTTATTATGGAAGTAAATTTTCTACATGATATCTATCAATTTTATCTATTCATTTAGGATTATAACGAATGAAGACCAAATGGAGTTAATAAATTTGCTGATAACACTAATAATAATAGCGATAATGAACAAGAAGAATCATCAATATCTAATAAAAGACAAAACACAGAAAAAATCGGGGAATTTTCTACTAGTTGCGATAACAAAAAAATCTATTTGTAATAAATGCAAAAAATCTCTTCCCAATTTTATAACCTCAGGATTATGGACACATCTTAAATCCTTCCACCCAACATTATATATGAAATGTGAACAAATAAATATTGGCAGTATAAAAAATTAACACAATAAAATCATGTTTAGTTAATAATATAAATAATAAAACTAATTTCTCATTTAATTATAGACTTTTTTCAAAATAACTTAGTCTTTTCAAAGGTTGAGGATATCACTTTTAAAAATTTAATAGCATATTGTAACCCTTTACTAAAATTCGTTTCTAGCAAAACACTAAAAATAGAAATTATGAAATATTATCATAGTTCTTTCATCAATTTAAAATCTCTACTTTCTAACATTTCATTTAAATTTTCATTAAAAATGGATATTTGGTCCTCTCGAAATAAAATACCCTTTATGGGCATAACAATTCATTATAGAAGAATATAATATTTATACAATAAATCATTACAATTCAGCTTGAAACTGAAAATAAATCCAAAAAATTGTACTTATGATAAAATATTGTATTGGTATTGGGTCTAAAATATTGGTATTGGTTTAATATTTTTTATTTCTTGTATTGGTATTGGTTTAAATTCAAATTACTAATTAAAAGAATAAAAATAATAATTATAAAACCTTTAATTTCTAGTTTAAAATGAACAAAAAAATCATAAAGCATTACCATAAAAACAGGGCTAAGAACCAACTCTCAAAATTTTACTGAATCCAAATTCTTTTTTTAAACTAGGAATTTATTAGGTGATATGAATATAAAAAATTTTGATTTAATCGTATATTTTTTGTATCAACAAACCTAACCAAACCCAAATAATAAACGTATTGATTTTGAAACGTTTTATTTATCACAATGAACATATCAAATGAGCACACTAAAAATGTAACATAACTGTCTATTTATATAAAATATAGTGCTAAAGATTGGTATAAATTTAATATAACAGAAAATATTATGTATTTAAGAAGAATCCTGCATGTGCATCCAACTTCATGCCGACCTTCTGAAAAATCCCTTTCAGAGCTAGATGGGGAGCTGTAATTGCAAGATAATCTGGCAATTTTCTAATATTGGATATCTATTTTTATTTAATTTCCACCAGTCTAATGGATTTGTATCATAATTGTGGCTTCATCCATATATTTGCTTATTTCTAAGTTATTATTGTTATGACTAGGTTTAACCTGATATTTTTTGGATTTAACTTCTGTTTCATTTATATGTTCAGCTGAATTGTAATTATTTGCTTTATAAATATTATATTCTTCGGTTAGGTATCCAATAAGAGTGTCTATACTATTATGCTTTAATAAGTGACATGATATTTTAAATCGTAGATCAATCATTGTTGATATAATATATAGATGTTTATTAAAATTATAGTATTTATTAAGTTTTGTTAAGGCAGCCACTGTCTTTAAAATAGCATTAGGATTATTATTATAACTCAACTCAAAAATACTGGAATATAAAGGAATGATTGTTGAAACTGATGGAGTTTTAGCACATGAGGCCATCTCTAGAAAAATTAAATGGTTACAGAAATTCTCGGTATATTTCTATATTATTCCAGGCTAAGACACTAATATAATTTTCTTCATTAGTATTTTGTAAATGATTTGTAAATGTTGTTAAAGGGTTTGAGCAATATTGTCCTTTCAAGCATTTGGTATGTTGAATTTCAACATGTTGATATATCCAAATTGGGTGAATAAATTTTAAGTTTGGATTTTTTTCAAAAAATATTTTTTCGAATTTATTAAATTTGGATATAGAAAGTTTAAAAATTTTTAACAAATTTCTTATTTTTTTTAAAGTTGTATTTAAGTTCCAATGCAGCCATAACAGCCAAATGTATGACATGGCAAAAGCATTTGCACACATTATTAAAATTATCTTTTTGTTTTAAAATTTTTAGAAATGCTAAATTATTACTTGCTTTGTCTAGTAATGCAAATAAAAAACAATTTCAAATTTTATTTTTATTTTTAATACAATTAAAAATATTTTAAATATTAATAGAATTATGTGCTGATTTAAAAGGAATAAAATCTAATAAATGATTATTTAATTTAAAATAATTATCAATATATTGAATTGTTATGCCCTTAAAGGATATTTTATTTCGAGGAACCAAATGTCCATTTTTAAAGAAAATTTAGATAAATGTTTGAAAGTACAGGTTTTAAATTTATGAAAGAACTATGATAATATTTCATAATTTCTATTTTTAGTGTTTTGCTAGAAACTAATGTTAGTGAAGGTTTACAATATGCTATTAAATTTTTAAAAGTGATATTCTCAACCTTTGAAAAAGGCTAAGTTATTTTGAATAAAAAAAGTCTATAATTAAATGAGTTAAATTAGTTATATTATTAACTAAACATGATTTTATTGTGTTAATTTTTTTTACTGCCAATATTTATTTGTTCATATTTCCTAATAATGTTGGGTGGAAGGATTTAAGATGTGTCCATAATCCTGAGGTTCCAAAATTGGAAAGAGATTTTTTTGCATTTATTACCAATCCTTTTTTTGTTATCGCAACTAGTATAAAATTCCCCCGATTTTTTCTGTTTCGTCTTTTATTAGATATTGATGATTCTTGTTCATTATCGCTATTATTATTAGTATCATCTGCATTATTTATTAACTCTATTTGGTCTTCATTCGTTATAATATCCTAAATGAATAGATAAAATTGGTAGATATCATGTAGAAAATTTACTTCCATAATAAAAATAAACTATAATTATAAATAACACCAATATTGATATCACAGTACAAGTTAGTATTTGAAAGAAATATCGGATGTAAGAAGTTTATGAAATGAAAGTAAAAAAATATACCAAGATATAATTATCCACGATAAAACCAAATAATATATTTATTTATCTATTTTTAATATTGGTATTGGTTAAATGTTTTTAAACTATATATAATCAAACCAATATATTTAGGAAATTGGTTGTAAAATCAATACCAATGTTTAATTATATATTGGTTTTGGTATTGTAAACCAATAATATATTAGTATTGGTCCCACCCCTATGTATAAGGATCATATATTTTTAAAAAAAATTCAATATCCTTTTATTAATAAAGTTTAGTGAAAATACTAAAAATCACAAAAAAATAACTATGATAAAATTTTATGTAAAAAGTTATATTTTAATGATATAAATGGTGCGACCTGCCCCTATTCTTCAGTCGGGATAAAATATGATATAAAAATACTAATATCTTCCATTTAGATTGAAAAATCGGAGATGTTACAAATATAGCACCTTTCAACAAATCATTTATATATGTAAATATTCGGTAAGCGCTGTACCCATTTATCTTTATAAAAATTCAAATTATTTTTTTATTTTGTCATAATGGTACAACTTTTATGCAAATTTTTCATAGGGATCTAATTTATAAAAAATATGAATATGAATTTTATGTTTTAGAAAGAAACTAAATGTTTTATATATCCTATGTCATAATGGCATTTTTTAAAAAAAGGCCGTTATGTAAAGGGCTTATATTTAAAGTAAATCTATAAGGTATACTTTAGAATATTTTTTTCATTCTATATTTAATTAACCATTTATTTTAAATATTTTATGTCATAATGGCATTTTTTAAAAACAGCCGTGAATATAAATTTGTAGAATATTTTTTTTCATTCAAATCTTTAATCATTTATTTTATATTTCTGCATAAAAAAGCTTTTACTTAGAACAATTAGATGCTGATTCTCTATCAATATTTATGCCTAGGAGTTTCAACATATATGATCCTAATTATGAAGTTAATTACTAATTATATAAATTAATGAAATCAAAATTTTAATTCCTCTAATTAAATATAATGCTTATATTTTTATTATAATTATAGGTCAAAACGAAAGAACCAAATATAAAATCGACGCATTCCCGTTCTTTACTAGATATTGATAAGAATAATTTAACAGAAAATGATTTGAATGGTATGAGCTATGAAGAATACGATCAGAAAATTTTTAAGCCATGCTCTCATAACAAGACTGATAAGTTATACTGAAAATTAATAAGGAAAGAATGAATTAAAAATTTATATTGTTCTAGAATGTTCGAATAATGGTTTTTTTACTCTTCTAATTATTTAGACCGGAAATTATTTTTCGTTTTTTATTCTAAAAAAACATTAGGAAAGACAATCACCTTTTATATTTATTATCTATTATCGAAACTAACGGTAGCCACAAATTGAATGATGATGATTCTTTGTATAGTTATACTAATGAAACTTTTTACGAAAAACAGCTTTATCATACACATACAGCTGCGATGAATTATTCAAATAAAGATTCTAGTTTACATGACGACGCAGACGTTAAGTAATCTCTAGATCATTTTATTACTTATAATAATTTTCATTAAACATATAGAGAAAGTCATAACTACAGGTGGAAAGGCATTTGGGGGACGGCCATATCTAAGTCATTTACATAGGGCTGTATCCAGTTTTAGGCCTGTGCATGTAGTTGCCCTAAGAGCACCCGAAACATTCATTTTTGCCTCGTTTAAAAATTATTTTAAAAATTTATAATCGTTTAGTTAGTTATGTTATTAAGTCCCCTAATAAATTATTATTTAATCATGATTATTCTCAAAAAAATATTTTTGGGTTTGAAAATCATGGTAAAAATAAAAGGTATATTTCGATTTTATAATTTATTATTGCATTTTATTGATTACTTTTCTTTTATAAGCACCTGACACACAAAAAATAAAGCAGAAACAGCAAGATGTAATAATTTTCTTTTATTAGTAATCCTAAAAATACAAATAAATAGGCTATCCTGAAAATGGAATGAGTCAAAGGAATGAAAATAATAACACCAAAGCCAAATAGAACTTAATTTAATATGAAGAAGCCCTTCATACTATTTTAAGCGATATTATTTAAAATCCTAACTCATACTTATTCTCAATTATAGAAGTAATAGTTATCAAGAATTTGTGTTTGCTCTTATCGGAATTTAGTTGGAGAACTAGAAATATAGGGAAGCTTAATATTTAAAACTACTGTAAGAAAACGCAAGAGAAAAAATGTTATATATATCCAATATGAGGTAGAGTTTTATAGGGATGTAACATACGGAAGGGAAATTAGAACATTCCTGGAAATTTCCCCAATTTTTATGTTTTGTTTTTTTAATGAAATAATCAAGATTTATTATTTTTAATTTTTCCCCCATTCAATTTTTCTTTATTTGAGTAAATATAATGTGTTATAAAAAAAGAATAACATTTAGATTTTTTTTGAAGATTGTATTTGCAAAGTGACAAATTATAGAATATTCAGAAGAACGATAAATTTATATTAGTTAAGTTATTTTCGATTTCACGATTTCCCTTAGATTTAATTAATATACAATCTTTATAGAAACTTTTTAAGATCACAATGTCAAAATTAAATTATCGAATAATAAGTTTCAAATTTTTAATCTTCTCTTGTCAATTTATGGAATTAGAATAGCTTTAAATCATAGTCCTAAACAATGTTGATGATTTTAGAAGAACTATTTATTTATACTAGTTGTTAATTTTGATTTCACGATTTGCGTTTAATTTATATAATCCTTATAATAAATTTTGGGATTACTGTTAAGAATAAAATGTTTACCTTATCAATTTATAAGTTTCACATTTTTAATTTTCTCTTACAGAAATATAAGAATGTCAAATTATAGCCCTAAATAATGTTTGTGATACATTTTATTCTAATAGTCTTATTACTATTTTAATTAAGTTAATAAAAATTAATTTCCAGAAAATATTCATTCTTACGACAAAGACTTGCTACCGCAATTATTCGCTCTTACTGCCTATGCTCTAACTATTCTATTAAATAATCTCCCATGCCTCCTTCAGCATTACTTTCTTCTCTTCCCAGATTCTCTTTGCAACTTTTTTGATATCTTCTTAAACTTCTTCTATTCTTCTCTCCTTAATCATTTTTACATTTATTCTATTAATTATAAATTACATTGAAAATATTTATTAGGTCAGAAAATTTATTTCCATGAATATCAATTTTATTTGGAAGGCTCTAAAATTGATTAATTGCTTAATTTTCTTGGTGAAGATCTGATATGGTCTCCTTAAAATAAGATAAAGACAAAATAAATTTAAATTAGATTCTATATTCATATGAAGCATAAAAAAATGTAATATTGCATAGTAAAATTTTTTTTTAATGAAAATTCCCTATTTTAGCTTTGTTTCCTAATTTTTTCACACAAATATTTATGGAAATTTACTTCCCTCGTCCGTTATAAATAAGACAGATCCAACAAAGTATTTTCAAACAACTATCAACAATATCTATTATATTACGATTCAAATAAAAGATTAGAACAACTTTTTTTGGTTATCTTTAATAACTAATAAAATCAATACTGAATGATATACTTTTCATTGTTTTTTATTTTTTGGTGGCATTTTATATTCAGGGATGTAGTCGGGGTATGCTCCTCATGGAAAATTTGAATTTTTTATAATGATTTTTATCTGAAATATTTTATAAACAAAACTGTATATGTGTAATTGTACATTTTTAATTCAAAAGTTCTTAAAGAATCATATCCAATAGGAATAGAGGAATATCATTGTATTCGTTTTGACTAGTGTACGTGTTTAAAGAAAAATGAAAAATATAACAAATTATTTTTATAATCAGAGCCAGGGGCGGACATAACATAAGATCAATAAGCATTTTTCCTACGAGACCGCTAGAAAATGTCGATTTTTTAGGCCGATCAGTAAAAAAATGGAAAAAAGAGGCCGGTCTGAAAAATATAAATATATATTATTTCTTTTTATCATACAAGTTATAACCCTTTTCTTATCATATCCATAATTTTATATATTAAAAGTTGTCATATTTCCTGCAGTTAAAATATCACATATTAATAAATTTTTTAACAATTTTACTGCCGTTTTTTTCGAAAAACATGCGTGTCCGTTTAAATGAAAGTCAAGTTTTGATTGATTTTTATTTTTATACAATAATTTATAATTTTATTTAAATAGAATTCAATTAGCTTTAAATAATATCCATGTAACAATATGCATATTTGAGATAATACATTTGTTAGGTAAGAAAATCCTACAGAGGATCAGACCACAATGAAACACTTATTATTGAAATTGAAAATTTATCTCTAGGGAATTCTCTTGAGATGATACAAATCATATCAAAAATGATAAAATACTTAAGCACCATTTAGAATAAGCTAATTTCAGGAGCAATAGTAGAAAAGGAAAGCTGAAACTTTACTATAAATTAAAATCCATGGGAAGAGATTCTCAATAATTTTATGTCAAAAACAACCTTTAATAAGTTATTAATGTTATTCTAGGTAAAATTAAGAATTTAATATTAAAATAGGGAGATAGGTGACCATTCTTTTGCAAATATTTAGCACTAAACAGTAGCTGATCTTTGAAGAATTTATCTCTAAAGGGGGCTGCTAAGCCGCCAAAAAAAGGGTGAAACAAGGTGATGGGCACGTAAAAAAGACCAATAGTTATAAGATGAAGAGAGCTCACTCCCGATCAAGGCAAAAACAAACCTTATCAGTAGCTAAATCCTTATTTGAGAATCTGTACAAATTTAAAACGTTAAATCCGCCTTGATTTTTTTGAAATAATGAGGTGGCTCTCATTATATTTTCACACCAAAAATTTGAAGATTTATCAGCTTGGAAAATGATTGAAGATTCCAACTCTTCTGTATCTTTTATAACCTTCACCTCCATAAATAGTGTTATAAAAAATGGCTACAAATTTAAATGAAAATATTCCTAATTTATGGCAGATAATAAGTCTAACAAGAAGGATGTATAGTGATGAACGCTCGACGATTAATCTATGTTTTTAAAGAATTTCGTCCTACAATTGATCAAATTATAAATAGTTTAATTTAACAACCTTAAGACTTTGACGAATAAAGAGATTATAACGAATGTTCAATATATGTATCCGAAAAATTTTGATGAAATAAATATCTAAGGTATTTCTGGCCTTGAACATCCTGATTAGAAAATGTAATCATCAGTGAAAATTACGAAATGAATTGTCTTAATTTACATATTTACAATTAATAGTCAGATTAATGAAAATATTGATGATACAATTTGTGATATTGAGGAGTCTAATATTCGTTGAAATATTTCAAGATATAGTCAATCCAATCAAATAGTCAATGCTTAATATTATTTATGATGCACACAACGAGATTTGGGAATGTTACTTAATAAAATTTAACGGCTACTATATAACGGCATACTATCGTCTTCAAAAAAAACGCGAACGATTAAGTTATCTAATTTAAAATATGTAACAGTTAAAAAATGTTATTCGATACATAATTAAAGATAAGAATAAATGAAAATAGAAAAATGCGATAAAGAATTTTATTGATTTATTTTTCGTCAAAAATAAAAAGTAGTATAATAAAGGAACGAAAACTAATTTATTAATATTTATTGTCTAATTTAATAAAAAATCAAGATTATCAAATTAAAGTTAGTCAAAGATTTATTTTTCAAATAAAACCTTTTTCATCTCATATTTGGTTTTTCAAATTTGCAAATCAAAATAATGTCTATACGGAATAGAATATATAATGTAATGAATAAATATTTATATTATTGGTAGGATTATGCCGTTATTAAATATCGGATCAGGCCGATACCTCTAAAAACCTATCCGATCCGATCTTTTTACTTTTCTTTTTTTTTGTTATTTTATGTTATGTATATTTATTTTACATTATTATAATATTTTCTAAATAATTTTTTTTAAACATTGCAAATGCACAACACCCCCTTAAATTTTATTTTTTTAAATAGATTTATAGTATTTTAAACGTTTTTTTATAAAAATAGAAAGGACCAAAGTTTTATTTTTTTTAAATAATAACGCCAATTTTATTATTTATACTTTAAATAATAGAATTTTTTTAAATATGGTATCTGAATTATTGAAATATTTTACAAAATACAAAGATAATTTTGCAAAATGCGTTATCTGCGAAATTCTAATTTCGCGGGGTGGAATAATGAATTCATTAAATACTACCAATATTCGTATTTAAAGCGATTTCATCAAACGGCATTCGAATAGTTAATACAAGAACGAGAAATATATTTTTTTTAAAAAAGAGCTCTGAAAATCAGCCAACAATATCAGCCATTCTTAATAAAACTTATATTTGGAAAAATTCTATTCTAAATCCATAATTATTTCTAAATTTATAGGGGAAATGATAGCCTGTGACCACCAGCCGATTTCTATCTTGGAGGATGTCGGCTTTAAAGGGCTTTTA